CAAACTCCCGAGTACAGTTATGCAGGCGAAAATGTTGTGTAGTTTTAAAAATAGGTTAGATAAATACATAAGTGTGTGTGGGTGGGTGTGAGTTGGACCTGACTAGCTTGTGCTGCTGGGTCTGGTGCCGTGCTCCACCCTTGAGTGGAGGTGACCAGACTGGGTGGGTCATTGGGCTAATCCGAGGGGGGGTGACATGGACCTGCTCTGCATGGGTCAGTAGGTCTGTTGCAGTGTTCCTTCTTTCTTATGTTCTTATGACGAAAACTAGGGCAAACAAAAACTGAGGTTCCACTGTATATACTCCAGCTGTGGGCCACCATCAGCTGGAGGTTACCTGGAGGTTATTCCGGGGATCAACGCCCCCGCGGCCCGGTCCATGACCAGGCCTCCCGATGGTTCAGGGCCTGATCAACTCGGCTGTTACTGCTGGCTGCACACAGTCCAACGTACGAGCCACAGCCCGGCTGATCCGGCACTGACTTTAGGTATCTGTCCAGCTCTCTCTTGAAGGCAGCCAGGGGTTTATTGGCAATTCCCCTAATGCTTGATGGGAGGCTGTTGAACAGTATTGGGCCCCAGACACTTATGTTGTTTTCCCTTAGTGTACCAATGGCGCCCCTACTTTTTATTGGGGAGATTTGCATCCCTGCCAGCTTTTACTTTTTTTTAGGGGTGATTTCTGTGTGCAAATTTTTGGGCCCTTCCTTCCCAAAATTTTCCCAATGTGATTATGAAAAATCTTTTCCCCCTGCGTTCCAAAAGAGTACAAGTCAATGCTTCCCAAACGTTCCCAGTATTAAGGTGCTTTACAGAAATATACTGCAGTAAAGGATCTCTGTACACTCTTAGACTGCGATTTCCCTGCTTTGAAAGGAGAAAAATTAATTTACAGCAGATTTTCCCGCCCAGAGAGAACAAGTTTTGAAAAGGACTCATTGGGTTGGCATCCTCATTTTTGAATTCCATTATCCATCCCATTTTCTTTGCCGTGTGATCGTGCACTGTTGTGACCTTGAAAGTGAGATCCTCAACATTAACCCCCCAGGTCCCTTACATTATTTTTCCCCCTCTTTGTATGGCCGGAGTCAGAGTATACCTGTTCTAGTTATTATCTCCTCCCGTTTTCCATAACGGATGTTGGGAAATTTTTCCTCATTGAAAATCATATTGTTTTTCCGTTGCCCCCTGGAAAACTTTGTTTATATCTTCTTGGAGGTTAAACCCCCGTCCTCAGCAGATGACACCTCATGCAGATCCTAGTTCATCGAAAGGATGAACTGCTGTATGTATATCTCTTCTGTGTCTGATATGGGTAAGGAAAAAGATGGGGGCGGTCTGTGCCTTGTGGAACGAGCTCTTCACTATGGGGCTCCGATTTTAAATCTGTTGACCACTACTCTTTTTTTTCGATTTGTTGGAAGTTGAAGATCCATCTCCCTACTTTTCCAGTTATTCCTTTAGCAGTATTTATGGGCAAATTACACCATGATCGCATTTGTCAAATGCTTTTTGCAAAGTCTGTGTATATTACATCTGCATTCTGATTTTCTTCCAGTGCATCCAAGGCCATCCATAGTGATCCAGTAGTTGGGGAGAGGCAGGAGCGACCTGCCCTAAACCCCATGTTGCCCTGGATTGTGCGATTTTGGGAATCCAGGTGATTTGCAATCCTGCTTCTTAGCACTCTTTCAAAGATTTTTATGATGGGGACGTCAGCGCTATTGGTCTATAGTTCTGAGCTAATGCTTTGTGCCACTTTTATGGAGTGGGCTATATCCGTTGTTTTAAGTGACTGTGGAATTTCACCCATGTCAAGCTCCTCCTCCATAGTGTACTTAGGGCACGCAAGAGGAGTTTCTTGCAGTTTTTAATGAAAACAGAGTTCCACGAGTCTGGGCCTGGACTGAGTGCATGGGCATGTTGTCAATGGCTTTTTCGAAATCTATCGGAGTTAGGGTAATGTCGGAAATCTGGGATACATTTATGGAGTTTGAGGCTCATTTCATGAAGAAATCATTTGGGTCGTCGATCCTCAGGACCGATTAGTGGTTCACTAAACACAAGTCGTACTGGGATTTCAATATTTCACTCTTTTTCCTTGTTGTCATCTGTGTAAGTCCCATCCTGTCTGAGTAAGGGCCCCATACTAGATGTGGTATTTGCCTTGTTTTTGGCATATGAAAAAAAAATATTTTGAATTTCTTCAATTTCGCTAATAGCTTTTAAACTCCTCCTGTCTCTCCTGGGTCCTGTAAGAGTCATTTAACTTAAGTTCGATAGTTTCACTTCCCCGGTCAGCGCCTCCTTTCGTGTATCAGATATTCTAGCACTCCTGAGGTGCTCAGTGACTCTTCGTCGTCTTCTGTAGAGGGAGCGTCTTTCTCTCTCCAATTTACTCCTGCTCTTCTTCTTTCTTAGGGGAATATGCCTAGAACATGCTTCGGCTGCCAGGAAGTTGATCCTTTCAAGGCACTAGTTTGGATCCATGTCATTTAAGACATCTTCCCAACATGTTTCGTTTAGGACATGGTTTACCTGGTCCCAGTTGATGTTCTTGTTGTTGAATTGGGATTTTGTGAAGACACCCTTTACAGGTACATGCATTCTGCTGATCCGGACCCCTATGCATGTACGTCTGGACTTCGATTAGGATGTGATCGGAATTTGTTGTTTTTTGATATTCTTATGTCTCTTATCAGGTCCTCATTATTTGTGAAGAGAAGGTCAAGTGTGTTTTCTAGTCTTGTTGGCTCCACTATCTGCTGGCTTAAGGTGTGTTTTTCGCAGAGACTTAGTAGCTCATGTGTGTGTGACCTTTCATCTGCGCTACCTCCGGGGATTGTTTCAGCTATAACATTATTTGCTACCTTCTTCCATTTTGTATGCCTTAGGTTGAAATCACCAAGCAGTAAGATGTTTGGGGATGGACCTGGAAGGTTTTCCAAACAGTAATCAATTTCAGTAGCTGTTCCTTGAACTGTTGTGAGGTTGCATTGGTGGCTTATATACAACCACAATGACCAGGTTTTAGTTCTCGATCTTTATTGATAGAACTTCAACTACCTCATTTGTGGTGTTCAGCAACTCCGTGCAGATGAGGGACTCTTTGACATACAGGCCAACCCCCACTTGTTGCCTGTTCTTTCTGTCGCATCTAAAAAGGTTGTAACCACTTATCCATATTTCACTGTCAAAGTGATCTTTTGTGTGAGTCTCTGTGAAGGCCGCAAACATTGCATTAGACTCCTCTAGCTTTGCTAGCTTTGCTGGCTGCGCCATTCTTGTAGGGTTGGGTGGTCCTGTGGTTTAAAGCATCATGTGGTTCTCGCTTACCATGAGGCAGGCCAGTACAACATGAGTTCGAATCCTTGGCTAGCACAGTGTTGTTATTGATCAATACCACTCGTCCGTGGTTACAATAATATATGAATGCTGCTCATGAGGCTAGTACACCAAACAGGAATGAGAGTGAAATTAGCTTAGAAGCTCTCACACCTCTATATGCCCTTGGATGGCGGCCCACAGCTAGCTCTGCTGGCTGTGCCATTCTTGTAGGGTTGGGTGGTCCTGTGGTTTAAAGCGTCATGTGGTTCTCGCTTACCATGAGGCAGGCCAGTACAACATGGGTTCGAATCCATGGCTAGCGCAGTGTTGTTATTGATCAATACCACTCATCCATGGTTACAATAATTTTATATCTTGTAGAATAATGCCCTCTTCATTTAAACAAAAAAAGAAAATTTTTTTTCAAAATATTCGGAGTGCTGGGTGAACCTTTGGACAGTTTAAGGGTTAAAAGGGAAAGCAAGGGTGATTCACTTTATGGAAATTTTTGGTTTACAGCGGTAGCCTGGAACCTAACCTTTTGTATAATCGGGGCCCTCCTGTACTGTGGTGCCTCGATATTTGAAGTTAATCTGTTCCAGGAGGCTGTTCAAATAGTGAGTTCTACGAATATTGAATCAGTTTTTCCCATAAGAAATAATGTAAATTGGATTAATCCTTTCCATACCCCCAAAAATTACCAATTACAGTATATCCCCAGTTTTCATAATTACTCCGTTCCAGAAGGTTGGCCGAAAACCGAAGTAATATTTCCCATAAGAAATAATGTAAATCCAATTAATCCGTTTCAGACACCCAAAAATATTAACAAAAAATACATTTTATAGAGAATAACTATAGTTTTACATACAGAAAACAATGAGAAATAAATGTAAATGGCTAATTTAATGATAAATGAACATTACATACCGTTCTTGAAGACTCTTGTTGGCGAGTAGTATTTATTTGTAGTCCCAGGTTGACTACATCCCAAGTGTATACCTACCGGCTACATACACTGCAGCCTAAAGCCATATTATTACCATTGACGTAACATGTTCACTGAGTTTAATCGTTTCTAACAACTGCCTTTAGATGCCATCATAAACAAAGGGAGAAGTACAGTATAATGAATAATTCATGCCGAGAATTGTAAACAAAAGCCTTGTGTATTAAGGGCGGTTACTGGGCCAACGCAGATTCATACACATTTTCTCTGAAGTTGGACCGACCCCTTGATAGCATATGAACATTGCATTGCATGTTTACATGCTATGTAATGTGTTTCTTATATAATTTTGAAAAAATATCATAGATGGATTAATGAAATGTCTATATTAACGTAAAATAAGACATTTAATGTGCCCAAGAGTGAGTCACGAACATTTGAGTGGCCCAGGCAGATGCGTCTGGTACCAATGATTTCCGAGTGAATGTATGAAACCCGAGGGGAAATTTCACCAAAAAAAGTGCTCGAAATCTGAATTGTACAATTTCCGGACTGGCCGAAAACTGGGGGTCCACTGTATCAGGTAACTGCTCGTCTGGTGTTTTTTCTATCTTTGTGCATTAGCACTTGAAGATGATGGTGATTCACTAGCATTTGATTTTTTTCTTTGCTGAAGAAGCCATCTGATGTCTGCTTTTGATAGCTTTTCAAAATTTTTCTGCAGTGGTCAACAACATTATCAGTGAACAGGTTGATGCTCCTATTCAAAACAGTAATGTTAGTATGCCATTTTTCCACCAGGCTCTGTGTTTGAGCCCAATGGTAACACAGTTCCTTAACCCTTTCACTGTCAGTGACATATAGGTATGGCTTACAAGCCAGTGTCGGTGATGTATTAATACGCCAAAATTCTAGCAGCTTCAAATCTAGTGGGAGAAAGCTGGTAGACCTAAATGTGAGAGAATGGGTCAGTGTGGTCAGTGTGTGCAGTATAAAAAAAAATCCTGCAGCACGCAGTGCAAAATGAGAAAAAAGAAACTCCAACTCTATTTTTGGTTTAAAACACCGACTTTGAGGTGTACAGTGGACCCCCGACTTACGATATTAATCCGTTCCAGAGAGCACATCGTAAGATGAAATTATTGTAAGTCGAATTAATTTTCCCCATAAGAAATAATAGAAATCAAATCAGTCCGTTCAAGACACCCAAAAGTATGAAAAAAATTGTTTTACCACATGAAATATACGTTTTCCTACACACAAAAAGAAGGATACATGCACAATATATATTGTGCATGTACTAGTGCACTAAATGAAGAATAAATGACACTTACCTTTATTGAAGATGTAGTGATGAGTGATGAGACACTGTGTCCTGGGAGTGCCTTTTCCTCCTGAGTAATGTAGGTCCTGTTTGGCATTTTCTTCCACAACAGGCCTTATCACACTGTGTATGCCACTACGATTCTTAAATTTCTCAAACCAACCTTTGCTGGCCTTAAATTCACCAATATGAGCACTAGTTCCAGGCATTTTTTCTTGTTCACCTAGGTGTTAGTCGACTGGTGTGGGTCGCATCCTGGAGAACAAGATTAAGGACCCCAATGGAAATAGGTTAGACAGTCCTCGATGACACACTGACTTTCTTGGGTTATTCTGGGTGGCTAACCCTCTGGGGTTAATTGTTTTTTGGTACAGTGGACCCCCGCCTTAAGATATTAATCCCTTCCTGAGAGCTCACCGTAAGCCGAAATTATCGTAAGGCGAATTAATTTTCCCCATGAGAAATAATGGAAATCAAATTAATCCATTCCTGACACCCCAAAGTATGAAAAATAATTTTTTCTACCACATGAAATATTAATTTTAATACAAACAAACTGAAGAAGACATGAACAATTACTACTCTACTAAGAATAGAATACATGACACTTACCTTTATTGAAGATCTGGTGATGATTGATGGGATGGGAGGAGGGGAGAGTGTGGAAGTTGTTATTGTTTAGAAGGGGAATCCCCTTCCATTAGGACTTGAGGTAGCAAGTCCTTTTCTGGGGTTACTTCCCTTCTTTTAATGCCACTAGGACCAGCTTGAGAGCCACTGGACCTCTGTCGCACAACAAATCTGTCCATAGAGCTCTGTACCTCCCATTCCTTTAAGACTTTCTTAAAATGGGCCATAACATTGTCATTGTACAGGTTGCCAACACGGCTTGCAGTAGCTGTGTCAGGGTGATTTTCATCCGTAAAGGTTTGCAGTTCAACCCACTTTGCACACATTTCCTTAATTTCTTTTTTCAATTCCATACTAATTCTCGCCCTTTTTACCACAGAAGCTTTCTTAGGGTCCTTGGTGACTTATTTTGCAGTTACAAGCACTAAAAACACTGGGATAATGTGAAATGCACCGAATGTATGTGTAGATACGACCGCACTGGCTGGCTTATAAACACTGGCGCTGAGGCCACATGTGGGACGCGTCCCGGACGAATCATGTAAGGCGAGTTTTTTATCGTGAGGCGAGGCAAAATTTTTGCGTTAAAATGTATCGTATGGCAGATTTAACGTAACGCGATGCCATCGTAAGGCAGGGGTAAACTGTATTCTCTATAAGCCACACCAACAACAGTCTCTCCACATCTTCTAGTAGTACAGCTGACCGTGGTGCAGCAGCAGTTGCCCGTGGTATGATAGTATTTCAATAGTATTTCTCACTCTTTTTACCACAGGATTGGCACTGGAAGCTTTCTTTGGGCCCATGGTGGCTTATTTAGGAGTTACAAGCACTAAAAACACTGGAATAATACAAAATTTATTGAATGTATATGTGCAGCTGTCCACCCTGGCTTGTAAACAATGTCACACTAGCTCAGCTGAGGTGCTCAGGCCAGACGGCCACGTTCGGGACGAATGATATAAATCGAGTTTTTCAATGTAGGTTGGGGTTAAATATTTATGCTAACAAGCATCGTAAGTCGGTTTTATCGTACGTTGAGGCCATCATAAGTCGTGGGTCCACTGTATTTTCGTATAGTATTTATGGTTATATTCTCGTTTTCTTGGTCTCACTTATTTATTTATTTATTTATTTAGTAATTTAAGCATACAAACAGAGGTACAAAAAATACAGTTAAGAGCAGCATGCCAAAGCCACTTATATGCATAGCATTATGGGCTGGCTTAAAATTAACTTAAGATTAACTAAGCAATGATGAAATCAGTGATAGAATGGAAGATATATTACAGAAATAGGGATGTTTTGATTGGTTTCACGATGAAAAGTACCTTGAAATTGAACTCAAATTAGCAGAAATGTTTGATTTTTGCCAGTGCTCAAGAGTAAACAAAGGACGTCAGCATCCAGTACGTGTCCAACTGGCCAGTCTAATACACAGTCATGAATGGGTTGACATTATTTATTATTACAATAATGCAGTAGTCTGCATAACAGTAAATCTATTTTTTGTGTGAATAAAAATTCAAAATGGAAAGCAGAGTAATATAAGAGGGGCCTGGAGACATGACTAATGAACAGAGAAAAATGTTATTTTAGTGCCAGGAATGTCTGCATTGTTTTTTCTGGACCCTATTTTGAAATTTGATCTTTTGAAATTTGTGTAAAATTGGCCAAATTACCAATTTCTGACCACTTTATTGGATAGTTAAAATCGGTAAATGGGCAGTTTCTTGTATTCAGTCGATAAAACAAATAGAGTTCTAGCAAAATAGCTATGAGTTTGGTCTACTGGAACAACGGAATTGGCCAAAAATAGGGCTCAAAGTGGGCGAAATCACAAATGCGTATATATCGCTGAGACTGCTAACTTCGTGAGAGCGTAATTCCGTAAGTTTTCCATCAAATTTCGTACTTTTTATGTCATTACCATTGGAAAAAGATTCTCTATCATTTCATAAGGTTTTTTTTTTGGGGGGGGGGGATTCTTCGACACTGAGCAAGTTTGTGAGCAGGGCTCTCAACAGTGAAAGGGTTAATTTCTGCAGTGGAAATGTTGCACTTATTGCTTCCCTCTAAAGAAGAAGAAATTTCCTCAACCACTTTTTCATGCTGCTCCTTGTGCAGGTCTTGAAGTTCTTCTGTGGTGAGCTCATTCTTTTGATCCTCCATTAACTCCTCTACATCTTCATTTTTCATTTCCAAACCCATGGGCTGGCCTAAAGAAACAATATCCTTCACTACAGGCTCAGCTTCAAAACCTTCAAAATCTCTGACCAATACACAGTCTGGCCACAATTTCTTCCAGGCTGAGTTCATTTTCCTGAAAGAAACTTTCCCCTCCAGGCTTTGTCTATTATCCTTAAACACTAGAGGATATTAAAATGTTTTTCCAAAATTTCCTAAGGGTAAGCTCTGTTGCAGAGGTCACTTCAAAGCACCTTTTAAGCAGTGCTTGTGTGTAAAGTTTCTTAAAACTGGAAATTACATGCTGGTCCATGGGTTGGATAAAAGGAGTCGTGTTAAGGGGCAAGAACTTTATTTATTTATTTATTTTATGTCTTTGCAAACAGTACATTGAGATTTTATATTTACAATAGTGGGTTGCAATGCAAAGAGCCTCTATTATGCCTAGGCATTATGGGCCAACTTAACAGTCTACTAAACTCGGGCCTGACCTCTAAAGGGATAATTATTAACACTAAGGAGTATATTATAGTTGTACAGTAGGATAGTAATTATTTCATAGTTGTACAGTAGAACATTAATCATAAATGAATCAAAATTTGTATAATACAAAGATGTATTTATATTCAAAAATGCTTTTTGTGAAAATGATTCAATTATACAGTATTCCTGTCAACAATGGAAAAAAGGTTCAAAGTGATTGTTTCAGTTATGATGTGGGAGTACATAGGTGAGTAAGTGTGGACTGAGTACAGTGGTCCCTCAATAAACGTCCGGCCTGAAAGTTGTCCATTTTGGAAATAGTCCTGTTTTTTTGTCTAAATATTGGCTCGCAAATGGTCCGGTAACTCGCTAATAGTCCTTCGTCCCGGACGCGTGCTCATGCTCTGAGCCGCCTGGGCCTTCCCTTCCCAGCCAGTGTGCCATTGTTTACCAGTGAGCAACGGTCCCCTCACATGCTCCAGCGAAATATTTCATAATATTCCATTTATTTTAGTGCTTGCAAGTTATTTAAGTGCTAAATAAGCTACCATGGCACCAAAGAAAGCTCCTAGTGCCAAGCCTTTGGTAAAGAAGGTGAGAAATACGATTGAATTTAAGAAAAACATCATTGAACAATATGAAAGTGGCATACGTGTGGGCGAACTGGCCAGGATGTATAACAAATCCCATACAACCATATCTTCCATCATAGCCAAGAAAAAGGAAATCAAGGACACTGTTGTTGCAAAGGGGGTAAATATGCTGACAAAAATGAGATCACCAGTACTTGAAGATTTTGAGAAGTTATTATTGGTGTGAATAAATGAGAAACAATTAGCAGGAGATAGTCTTATGATGTCGCTTATTTGTGAAAAGGCTAGGCAGTTGCATGACGATTTGGTAAAGAAATTGCCTGCAAATAGTGGTGATGTGAGTGAATTTAAGGCCAGCAAAGGCTGGTTTGAGAGATTTAAGAAGCATACTGGCATACAGAGTGTGGTAAGGCATGGTGAGGCTGCCAGTTCGGACCACAAGGCGGCTGAAAAATATGTGCATGAATTCAAGGAGTACATAAACAGTGAAGGACTGAAACCTGAACAAGTGTTCAATTGTGATGAAACAGGCCTCTTTTGGAAGAAAATGCCAAAGAGGGCCCACATTACTCAGGAAGAAAAAGCGCTGCCAGGACACAAGCCTATGAAAGACAGGCTGACGCTAATGTTCT